GTTGTTGGTACTGCTGTTGTTCATGTGAGGTTGTTGTTAGTACTGCTGTTGTTTATGTGAGGTTGTTGGTACTGCTGTTGTTTATGTGGGGTTTTTATTGGCACTGCTGTTGTTGTGATGTTGTGTTGTTGGAATTTCGGTTTTCGTGATGTTGTTGTGATGTTATGTTGTTGTTGTTGTTGTTGTTGTGATGTTGCTGTTGTTATTGTTGGTAATGTGGTTGTGACGTTGTAGTGTTTTAGGAAATGTGCGAGTATCGTTATTATGGGTGGTGTGGAACTTGTTGTGGCTGATATGAGTGGTGTGCTTAGCTCAGTAGTCAAGAAAACGTCACTGTCGTTATTGAGCAAAACGGGTTAAAACAATCTTGAAAAAGTCTTAACCAAGAAACGTGCCAGATACAAGTGAGTGAATTGTCGCTCTTACAATACCCGGGGCGTGTTATACTGGTGCCACCTGATACTGTACATTTTATTTTCGTGACTGTTTCTACAGAATTCCTTGATGAGTTAGAGTCTGTGAGGCAGAAGGTCAGCTTGAGCCAGGTTCATGCGCAGGAGGTCCAACCGGTGGCGGTTCACTGCACGGCTGGTGTAGGGAGGACTGGGGTCATTATACTTACTGACCTTATGATCGCCTGTTTACAGAGTAATCAGGTAACATCGAGCAACGTTTACTCAACTTTCATCGACATGTTGAATCAGCTAAGAATACCATATAGGTCAGAAAATTAGCACTTACAATCAGGACCATCCGACTACATCTAAAGTTGTTCTATTTTTTCTTTCGTCACAGCGAGTAAATATCCTCAAGTCACTGATTCGTCTCCGATGCCAGAGAATGCTGTTAGTAGCAAACTTCGGCCAATATCGCTTTGTATATACCACCCTCATACACTTCCTCAAAAATAGCAGGCTCATATAAAAATATCAAGCTAAATGCCATTAGCGTTAGAGCTGCATTGAGGAGCCAAGCCCACTGACAGGATTAACCTCATGGTACAGCACAATGAACTGCCCAACGCCACACCAGCTTCTTGAACACAAGTGACAGCAAGCAAGTCTTGTTGAAATTCTGTCCTGCGTTGCTTGCGAATGGTTGTATGTTCGTTTATGAATTAAGCAGTAAATGACACCTTTTTAATGTCGCTGTTATTGTAAAAAGACTTAAGAGTAAAAACTCGTGAAATTTCTCAGTTTGTATGGTCTTCTTACAGAATATATTATATTACGACTGCTTGTTTCAAGTCAATTTGCTCGTATACATTTATGTACGTAAAGTGTATTTTAAAAGTACTATTTTAATACAAAGTTTAAAACAAACGGAGACATTTTTATGACATGAATTGACTCTATTGTATCATATCTTTGAATACTATGCATTTTTCTTCATATACTGTTTACATGCAGTGGGTTCATTCTTAACTTTTTAAAAAGATTGCGCTACTCGACAGATTGATAATTATGTAATGTACAGTCAGAAAACAGTGTGAAGCGTGAGTGTTCTCTCAGGCTCAATGGAAACTTGAGTAATTCAAGAAATGTTTTAGCTAATAAATGATATCAAGTGTGCAAACAGATTAATATAATTAACTGGATGTTTTTTAACATGGAGTGTATCTAACTTTTGTAAAGAGTGTTTATTAAAACATACAGTACCTTTCTTTTTCATGTGTGTTTCAGTGCGTGCTCACCATATTAAGTGCGATTTTTGTCAATTATCTTTTTGCGGTCTGACCCTTTGACGCACATTATCCGCGAGATCTTGGATTGATCTGTTTAGTAAAGAAACGCAAAATCCGTTGGCGGATTCTTTCGGATTTAAGAATCCAATCTTGGATTTTCTTAAAGAAACGCACCCTTAGTGCCACGGAGTCTACGGCAGTAATTGTCGCAAATTTACTAGTTTTACATGTAACTAACGGAGGAAGGTTTCGGCTGAATATGAACTTTTTAGCTCCTTTCATAGACGAGGAAATAAACCAGCCGCTAAGGAGAAGCAATATGTTTCCATTTTTTATTTGAACCCAGGCAAACACACAATAGTTGTAAAACAGCGGACGAAATTTCTTGAATCGAGCTAGGGGTGATCCCAGAAGATACGCACTCATAGTAGCGTTCTTTACACTGAAAAGGGAGAACTGACGTTACCCGAAATATAGCTGCTATCCCCCGTCAAAGCGAGAGTATGTTATCACTCGAAAAAAACGCGCAGATCTGAACTCGAAAACAACGTTTATCACACTAGCAATGCGAAAACGCATGCGTCTCACAAGTTGTTTTCTACCACAAGGAAAAGCACTCTACATTTGTGTGTGTTCTCGTATGAAACGTATCTTTCACCTAACATTTAGTCGACACTGACGCTAACTAATCTGCGCATGTGTTTCGAGCAGATTGCGTTTTGTTTTTAAGAGAATAGCGCCACAAGGATAGCAAGAGATTTGCGAAAAATATTTTTAACAATAACTGTGTAATTTCTCGCGCGCTGATTGGCTCATTTTTATCACCAGTACGAGTACAGACGGATAAAATTTGAATTTATGCAAGCTTTCAAGTTCAACTTTCAGCTGTCCAATGAGATTTTATGGATTTTTTTAAGTAGCCAATCAAAAAGCGTGACTGAGCTATTGACAATGTTGGCGTCATTTTGAATAAAATCTACTTATCTTTGTTTACGGCATCTTTTCCCGTCATTTGTTCCCGGCATTTGACCATTTTGGGGTCTTGTTATTGTAAAAAATGAATTGACGTAAAAAACTGACGTCAATTTGTTAAATATAGTTTTGTATGTTTTTAAGAAAATAACGTACGAATGACATGTTTTGCGTAATGCAATCAGGGTACCAACCCCACCCAGTCTCCCTTCCCGCGAGGCTAATTGTTTAATTGAAATTATTTAATTAAACAATCATTAAAGTTTACACCTTATGACGTTAGTGCATTAGCGAACAGCAGCCCCCTGAACTATCCCAATAGTGCACTCTGCACTAAAAATGAGATGAAAAATTGCCGTTTCTGACGAGAACCTTTGTGAGCAAGCATCGCTAACAAAATACTATATTTTATCTTCTCCTGGTTTTAAATGCCTCGCGTAGTCTAATATCCGTTTTATTTAAGCACTTTCTTTTTCTATTTTTGTATTTGGTAAAATAACGCGTGATTTATGCTCCGGTCAAATTCTGTGGTACCAAAAGTGACAGTTTTTCTATCGACAGAGCTCAGGAGCTCAGCCTCTTTGTTAATCAGCTATTCAGTGAGTTGTGTAATTGTTCTCAAACATTTCGACTGTCAGCGGCGCACGAAAGCCCAAGGAAAACCACTTTTCTCAAAGGAGTCAGTGTTTAATTTGAAGACGTCGAAAAGACAGCAGCAAATTAATCGTTTTTTCGGACCGCTAGCACGTACGTCATCAGGAAGGTAAGCGTTATTGTAAATACGTAAGTGTATTCCTTGTTTACATAGCTCAATACAGAGATGATTTCAAAGATATTAAACTGCCAACAATCATCCCTCAAAACCCTGGAAATTACGTTTCCGAGAACCTAACTAAGTCTCCGGGGGAGTGGTGAAGCACGCCTCGGGCCCCTTAGAAGACTTCCCCTTCGGCGGACAATTCCCCCAACCCCCCTTCACCAAATCCTGGATCCGCCCCAGCTGTCCTTGTCTTGATGACAAGATGATAACAAGATGACAACGTGTTTTATTCAAGATGATGAAAATAAAATACAAGACAAAGCACATATTGCAAAGGAAACCTAGAAGTCGACTTATGGCGTTTCTCTAAATAAAAGGATAAAACAGATATAAACTATGTACAATGAAAATATATAAATAGAATATTAATAGTCTTGAAGCAGTCAGAGCTTCCCTATCGTGTGTTTAGCAACCAAGTCTGTTCCTAAGAGAGGTTTTTTCGTTACGTACAAGAAACACTCGGATAGTTGGGCCCAAACCTCTAGTCTGAATTTCAGCCGTGTCTTCCCTTTACGTATCCATCCATAGACTTTTCATGGAGTCCACTCCATTCGTAACTTTTTGCGGTGGAATCAGTTCCAGTCCCGGGATCATTTGCAACAGAATTTGGGGATCATTAGCAGGCCGGGATCATTTGCGGGCCTGTAGATCTGTTTAGACTTTTTGACACCCTCTAGCCTTGGTCACAGATTGCTACGATTTCAAACTTTGTTTGTTTGTAACTGTTGCTGCGGATACACATAAATCTTTGCACCCTCAGGAGCCAGGGGCCCAGGAAGGAATCGTGGGAATTCTGACAATGAGTATTACAAAGAACCGAACTGAAGTCTTTACTCTTTGACATTCACGGTTCATGCAGCCGTCAGATATTTTTTTTAGGATTACACGAGAGCTTTTCAAGGACAATTGAACAATATTCAAGCGCTTGTCTCCTTCAGAATCTTATGTAAAATTTGTTCAGGTAGGGAAGTACACACTTCGCGTTTCTACATGCTACCCAAGAAGCGCTTCTCGCACCGAACAATCCTGGGCGTCCTACTGTGTCTGCATGTTGTTGTCCTAGAGAGAACATCGCAGCATACTTCGATGAAGTAATGGCTCCTTTAGTTGGATTCCTTCCCACCTACGTAAAGGATACCAACGATGCTCTCAGAATCTTTGACACCTTTAGATTTGACGGCTCCGATAAGAACCCCCGCTTCCTGTTCACAATGGACTTAAAATCACTCTACACTGTGATTCCCAGCAATGGTGGATTACAAGCTCTCTCCCATTTCTTCGACCAGCGAGCCCACAAAGAACCACCGACCCACACCCTTACACGACTGGCTGAGTTTGTCCTCACTTTAAACGCCTTTTCGTTCAGTGGGGAATACTATCACCGGGCCATGGAGAGCAAGATGGGTCCTAGTTACGCTTGTCTGTACGTGGGATGTTTTGAAGAGCAGATTCGCGCGCGTTATACTGGCTTCGTCCCACAGCAGCTCAGGCGTTACATTGATGACGTTGTTGGGCGCGCACAGTGCAGTCGCCACGATTTAGAGCAGTGCATCAATTACGTATCTAACTTCCACCCGGCTCTCCAGTTCACATCTACCATCAGTGAACTGGAATTGCCGTTTCTCGATATCAAATTGAGTATTAACGGCGACAAGTTACAGACATCGGTGCACTACGAGGAAACGGACACGCATAACTATCTCCATTACTCGTCACTCCATCCTGATCACTGCAAGGGGGCAATTCCCTACAGTCAGTTTCTTCGACTCCGTAGGATCTGCTCTGATGATACTGATTTCGTGAACAGAGCTACAGAGATGAAGGAATACTTCCGGGCGCGTGGTTACCCTGATAAACTTGTCAACAACGATCTCAAAAAGGTCTCAACCGCGCGCTCCACGCTTCTCACACCAACAAGCCACAATGAAAGCACAAGTAACAAAGTCCCGTTGGTATTAACGTATAATCCATTCAACGTCGGCCCCAGACGGATCTTGCTTGACAATTTCAACATCTTGTCCTCCGATCCCGAGGCACGTAGGGTTTTCCCCGAACCTCCGCTGGTATCATATCGGCGTGAGCGACACCTCGGTAATATCCTCGTGCACTCCGCTGATGCCTCGCCGTCTCCCACTGATGCTGGTTCATTGCCCTGCCGACGGCCTCGATACCAGACGTGCAAGCACATAGCTTCTCAGACTTTTCTACAAGGCCCAAAGAGCGCACATAACATCCGTGACCACTTCACCTGTCAGTCTGAGAATGTTGTGTATTGCATTTCTTGTAGTCGCTGCAATTGCCTATACATCGGAGAGACTGGAGGGCGACTAAGGGAACGTTTCAGCGAGCACCTCCGCAGCATTCGAAACCGATCGTGCGGGTTTCCCGTAGCTGAACATTTCAACTCCACCTCCCACTCTCTGGATGACATCATGGTCTGTGGCTTGAAACAGTGCTCTGGCAGTAACATCAGCCGCAANAAACCGATCGTGCGGGTTTCCCGTAGCTGAACATTTCAACTCCACCTCCCACTCTCTGGATGACATCATGGTCTGTGGCTTGAAACAGTGCTCTGGCAGTAACATCAGCCGCAAGCAGCACGAAATGAAATTAGTCTTCAAGCTGGGCACGCTTCGACCGAACGGACGGAACGTTAACTTTAATTTCTTGTGAATGTGGGTCTAGCGCAACACATACTATTCACAACACATACGCGCGCTAAAGAATTAAATTTCCTATTTATTTACTCTGTAGTTCAAGCGCGCGCTTTCCGTGCGCGCGTACGCGTACAGTTTTCAGTAGAAACCCGCAAATCGCCTGTTTTCAACGGGAAGGATTCCTATTTGTCCGCGTATATTAATCAAATTACCACTTCTCAACTGCCTTCAATCACTTAACTGACCGGAAGAAATATCTCACCAAGGCAATCAGTTCAGTAAACTTGAATTCCAGCCGTATCCACTGTGATCTTAATAAACAACGTATCACCCCGCACGTATCCACGGGTCCGCAGAGTGTTGTGTGATATAAAGGTAGGGCATCCTGACGCAATGTTCATATCTGAAGTGGGTCTCTTGAAACTTGAGCTGTTAGGATCAGGACGAAACGAATCCGTCACGTCCACCTGTCCCTCTTGATCCAGCAGTCTGAAGGTTACCTTATGGTGAAATGGCCACGGTAATAACGCGTCATATTCACCCCTCATAATCACAAAAAACACGGAAAGATGCGTGCTTTTACCCATACCATCACCATTTGGATACGCTCTCGCACACACCTTGTATCCAAACCGACCCACGTAAAACGGAGGGCTATATATGGAAGGGGTCCTTCCGCTTTTGGCTTCTTGAAGTCTTTTAGGCCACGCATCAATTTTCCAAATATACATTCCATCGTAGGAGGTTGCCTCAAGCATTTGTATTTTGATGTCTTGTTCAGCGAGGTTGACGTCATGTAATGCCAACTGATGCTCGTGCCTATCCATACGAGCTTCATTTGCCATTGAAACACTGTTTCCACTAGCTGATGAAGGCCTGTTACCAACAACCTTCATTGCTTCCCTTTTTAGAGTACCCAGTTGAACTTCATGCTCTCGAATTGCGAGTCTGAATTCCTCCATCTGAGCAGAAAACTGCTCGAACGTTGCAGTATCGCGTAAACTGCCGAGTTGTTGTCGAAAATTACTCAACTCTTTCTTATGATCTGACAAGATACGTTCAGCATTAGCAACTCTGGTCTGCAGAACACGCATATCGTGACCAGCTGCTGCAAGAACTTCTCTCTGATTGTCAAGCTGTGTTTCCAAAGCACGTTTTTCTTCTGTTAGAGTATTGATTGTCTGGTTCATCTCCTCTTCTTTTTTCTGGCATGCAGTGAGTGATTTAGCCAGAAGTTCCACGTGTTCTTCACTCTGTTCTGAACAATGCTCTTTAACGGTGTCTCTTCGGGCCTTAAACGTAAATTTAAACGTAAATTAGTTATCTTGAACTATCTTACTTATATCCTGGTTATATACTTTTAGAAGAAAATTACTTCCCCTCAAGTTGACGAAAAGTCAGCCACAATAGTCTTTTTCACAATAGTCTTTATTCACGCGAGCGATCACACCTCGTGAACTGAAATGACCGCGGAAATGAAAGGATCTTTTAGGCTGGCTTTGTAGCTACACATACACAAAAACGTGACAAATCTCAAGGTCGTGATCTTTGAGAACAGAATGAACTTGTCTTAACAAAATGAAAACTAACAAAAACAGTCTGTGAAAATTTGTGGTCACCCTAAATACTCTAAACAAGCATGATTGAAAATTGGAGACTTCTTAATTCTTATTTGTTTACTATTATCAAATATCTCTTTTCGTTGACAGAGATATTCAAGTTTCTAAAATATGCAAATTACTAAGTGATGACATCATAAACTTAACCGGATTTTGAACAAATATGATGAACAAAGATATCTCAGCCAGCTTGAATCAGAGATGTTAGATTCTTGGCAGTACAATTCTACTAGAGGTGCTCCACAATATGAACCTAACATTTTCGTTACCAGGGTAACATACTGGGTTCCAGACCTCCCCAATATTAAAGGCTTTTCTGGCCACCTTTAGCGTTCTATATTGATATTTGCCAATGGTAGCCGATCTGCATGTTCCAGCAAGCATATAAATATGTTAGGTCGAGTTCATGGCCTTGTTTAATGTTTTTCAAGCTGAAAATCACTAAAATATTGAAATCAGGTCAGAGGGGACTAGTAAAGAGTGGGTTGCTATGGGAACTGAAATTATAGCCGTAGGTGTGGTGCATGTAGAACCAATAACCTACCAAGTTTCAATGGTTTCTGCTGCAAATTGACTGAGATAGCTCTATTTATATACTTGATGTAATATTCGGTTGACTGTATGATGTCATCAGTCCTCTCATTTGCATATTTTACACATTTTTCAAACTTAAATGTCTCTGGAACCAATGCAGATATTTGCAAACAGTAAGCAGCCTTTTTAATCTTTCATGGAATTCTATGTGATTAACCTAAAAATTCAAGGCTTAAAAATTTGATCATAGTACCACTTTAAGGAAATGGCTAATCCTCACCTTAAACAAACAGCCATTATTCTTGAAAGGACAGGCAATCTCTGCTAAAGTACAGTGATTCTCTAAGTGATCATCTATTGAGTTGCGAGGTATGTTACTTTCACCACACCCTTCAGGACATGACAATGGAAGCCTGGGGCAAGTTTTCAAATGATTCTGATGAAGTGTATATGAAAAAGAAAAAGTCTTATAAACATGTTGAGGTGATCTTCCTTGAAAATAAAATGACAGGAATCCATTAAAGAAACCAGCAATCAGTGGGGTCTATAGTCCTAACCTACTAACCTGTTGTTCAGCTTTTGATATTGACACTCCACACCACTGACATGCTGTTTTCTTGTATAAACAATCACGTTCTATGTGGTCCTTTAGATTTTGGGACAATAATTTAGTGGCACAGCCTGCATTAGGGCACTGTATTTCCTTGTAAGCACACTGACTAAAGTGTTCCTTTAAAAAAAAAGAACATTTGGGATTTGCATTACATAATAACCTGTCCACTGTGCACCCACGTGTGCTTTTTCCTTGTACGTTTTTAACATATAGTTTCTCTTATACACTCTCTTTCATTTATCCTTAGGTACAGAATGACTTTTCACTAAAATACCATTGATTTGAACAATGGGATTTTGACTAACAGGTCGCAGAAGCTTCACCATGAAAATGATCATGTGCAAGTCACAGAGGCTCTGCAGAATTACTACCACCTTGAGTGCCAGTTTTCACAAGTTGCACAGTGATTATACAGGGGTTTCATTCCTTTCTCAGTATTTAAAGATATTAACAATTATTGATCGGGTTTTTGCATGTATTTTAAAAGCCAAATTATGGTAAATAACTATACCAATGAAAGACAATAATCGGGAAAAAAATTGTGTGTAGCAAATTTGTTAACATTACCTGTAGCAGTAGTTGTAAACTAGAAAGTGTTGTAAGTGAATGGCATTAAACTTACTACAAGATTCTGCCACTTTCCGCTCCAAGTACATCCATGATTGTGATTGCTACAGACACAAACTAACTGTAAAAGCTCTCTTTGGCAGGAGATATCTTGAAAGACTGGATCTACAATCTGTCCATCTACAGGACATTTTCTATTAATACCACTGCAAGTTTAATCAGAGTAAAAAATATATTATATTCTTACAACACTATATTCAGCCTTCTAGCAGTGTTCCATGAATAAATGTAAACTACACTGTATAGCACTGATATAGCGGCAATGTCCTTGTTACTGTCAAATTTCAAACATCAACAAGCAGCCTTAACAAGAAGTTGATTGAAATCATAAAGAACATTAAATGTGGAATTTATGTTAAAAAAAGTGGTACATGTTCTTCCATTAAGTTGCATCTGAAAGATTACAAGACAGCAAACACTTCAGAACTACATGTACTTCTAGTGTTATTTTTCAGCTTTCCTTTTAAGTAAGATATGAAGTCAACACGCCTCTAATGTTCACAGTTTTCATGCTTTCATTACT